AGTTACCGCAAGTACAAACCTTGTCAAAGGCAAGCCGTTAGGAAAGGTAACTAAGATACTGACAAATCTTATTCTTGACTTATGTTCTGTTCATTTATTTATTTATTTATTCATTGCTTGCTACATGGTTTTCTTAGATCTAAATTTTACATTTTTTCCTTATACATATAGCACCCCGGTAGGGCGTTGCAACGTCTGAGAGAGAGCACACTTTACAATATTCCATTTACATATCTATTACATTACATGTCATATTTATTGTCAAAAATTATACATTACTAAAATAGTCAAAATAATAATAGTAATTTAAAAAAAATTGTCATATAATTACCCAATATCAAAAATAAAACTTACATTAAACAAATCAAAACTAGTACAGTATTTGAGTGTTATTTTCTGAGAAAAAATCTTGTAATGTATAAAATGCGTTGTCCAGAAGATATTTTTTGAGGTGATTTTCAAACTTTTTTATATTTGGTTGACTTTTTATACTATTTGGTACAGCATTAAATATTTGGATTGCCATAGAGCGAGATCCTGTCCTATATAGGCTTAGGGTAGAAAAGGGTAATTTTAGTTTGTTTAAGCCGCGATTATTTCGTTTTACTATGGTAATGGGGGAATAAAGTTCAAAATGTTTAAGGACAAATTTACAGCACTCCAAAACATAAATAGAAGTTATTGTCAGAATTTTATGTTTTATAAAATACGGTTTACAAGACACTGTTTGTTCGATGTTAACTAGTATACGAATACACTTTTTTTGAAGAATCATAAGTTCATTTATATTTGTACAGTTTCCCCAAAGCACTATGCCATACGCGAGTCTGGACTGAATATAGGAGTAATATGTAGATAGAGCTGTGTGAAAGTTTGTAACTTTCTTCAAGTTCAGTAAGGCTGTATAGAAGATGACAAATTTTTGATTAACTTCTCTACATGCGCTTTCCAGCACAGACTAGTGTCCAGTCGGATTCCGAGAAGAGTAGCTGCTGTTTCAACATTTAGTGCGCAATTTTCGTATTCATAGTGTAATTTTAAAGGTGTTTTTTGGTACGGTCTAAATTGTATCAATGAGGTCTTCTTAAAGTTTAATTTCAGATTATGTGCATTGAGCCAGTTTATAATTTTGTCAAATGTAATGTCAAGTCTATTTTTTAATTCGTTCATTGTCATACAAGGGAATAAAATTGATATATCGTCAGCGAATAGAATACAGTGGTCGTCAATTATTTTGGGAAGATCGTTTATATACACTAGGAATAAAATACATCCCAGGACGCTACCCTGTGGGATGGAGTTTGTCATGCTTATTCGTTCTGAACGCACGTTTTTTACTAATCCAGTTGTAAAGTTAATATTTTCAATCTCTACGTATTGATCCCGGTTCGTGAGATAAGATTTCAACCATTTGTATGCTATACCCCTAATCCCGGTATTGTAAAGTTTGTTCAAAAGGATTTTATAGTCAACTCTATCATACGCCTTACTCATGTCCAATAATAATCCTACCGCGTATTTCCTTGCGTTTAGTGTATCTAGTATTTCATTTACGTACTTGTATACAGCGAAAATCGTAGAGCGGCCTTTTCGGAAGCCATACTGATTTTTGTCAAAAACGTTGTATTTTTCATAAAAGGAATACATTTTTTTACACATTACTGATTCAAATATTTTAGATGATGTTGGTAATAATGCGATTGGCCGATAATTATTTGTATCTGTCAGTTCGCCATTTTTGTGAATAGGTTTGACGATTGATATTTTTAGGGAATCGCATTGACTTACAATTATATTATGGACGTAGGGTCCGCGCTAAAAAGTGTCCGCACTTGTAAGGCGCTAAAATCGTATACAGAGCGCGACACTCCGCTTTATTCTTCATTTGTTCTACGGACAGCGCGATACTGCGATGACATAACAATTTAAATTTCGAATAGGTTGACTTGAGACATTTTTTTCGTGGTTTTTGTATTAGACCCGTCGTCCATTTATTTGTAAGTCAATGGGGAATCGGGAAAAATTCCTTCGTTAAGGCTCTGATTTATAAGTTCCGTATAAGGCAATGTTAGACTATCAATACACTTTTTTATTAGGATGGGAGGTATTTCATCAATGCCGAAACTATATTTATTTTTTTATTTTTTAATAACGTTTCGAACTTCACGTGGTTCAACAGGAAATAAATAAATAGAATTTTCGATGGGCTCTGTGACCTTAGTTGTTAATTTTAAATTTTGATTTTGATTTAATTCTTGTAGGGTTTTTTCCGGTGCGCCAATTTTAGCAAAGTAGTTATTAAATGAATTTGCCACGGTTTTGGGATTTGTAAGACAGGAATTCAGTGTCTTTAGTGTAACATTTTGTTTTATTCGAATATTTTTATTCGTTTCTTTATTAATTATTTGCCATATAGTTTTCATTTTGTTATTTGAGTTCTTTATTTTAAAGATGTTTTTCAGTTTCCGTGCTCTATGAACTACTTTTTTTAAATTTTTTTCATACAATTTGTGGTGTTTATTTAATATTTTACTGTTTATTTGTGATAAATGAATTTTGTCAAGTCTTTTATTCATGCAAGATCTTTTTATTCCTTTTGTAAGCCATGTAACTTTCGGTTTTAACGGGATTTTGATTCTTCTTATTGGAATGCATTTGTCTAATGTTTGCTTTAAAATTTTTGCAAAGCCATCATAGTTGTCGTTAATATTTTTATCTGGTTTTATAATATCTTGCCAGTTTATGGACATAATTTCGTTTTGAAATTTAGTCATATTTTGTTCACTGTAGGTACGTTTGTCAATAAGAAAATTTTTGAAGTTTAAAATTTTAGATGCGATGGGTAGCAAAATTCCACGGTGGTCAGAGAAACCAAGTTCATGAACTGAGGGTTCTTGCGTTGTTTGATTATTTGATTTTAGTTCAAGATGTGGTTTTCTTCCATTTTAGTTCCCAAAACATTATTTGCTTTGTTAAAATTAAATATCTATAGTTCTAATAATTCTTACAGAGGTATCTTCGACATTTCAAATGGAATTGCACAACCTGCCAGCACAGACAATCCTTCAAACAGAGCATGTCTACCCAGCCACAATTATGAACATCGACGGTGCCTCACTCTGGGTCATTACCGACAGCGCTGAAGAAGTCTGCAGGTAGGCTTATAAAAATAATTAATAAAAATGAAAAAAGTTTATTCTTCAACTATTATAATACTACTACAGTATAATAGTTACTCTACAACTACTGTTATAATTGAAATTATTGTCAATAGTCAGCAGCAGATGTCCATGTATGAAGGTGAAACCTGAAAAACAGCAGTAGTGCTAAGGTTCCATCCTTTTCCAATGAATGCACTAGAGTCCACATTTCCGAAACTCTTTAATTGTAATGTTATTGTAAATGTGCTTTAATAAATGTCTTATTATTATAATTGGAATTACATCTGTTTTGTATTGTAATATCATGACCGCAAAAGCATGACTCGATGACCAAAATGTCATATTGTGTGTATGGTGTTTACAAAGATTTCCTTCAACAGCTAAAGATGTTTTTTACTAGTTAGTCATGTCTTTTAGATAAATTCCTATAGCATTACATATGAAAATTGTATTGTCAAAACCATGTTTGTCAACAGAATAATGAGAGAAGTAACTGATTACTACAATAAACACCACATCGAAATGTCAATGGAGGATGTAATGTCACTCACCTACTGTGCCTACTTTGATGAGGAGACTGACTGCTACTACCGTAGCTTTTTCATCAGGCTTACTGAGGTATAAAAAATCGAATTGTATTCTGGGTTCTCCACAATGTTATGATAAAACTTTTAGCTTTATACTCTGTCATTGAGTATGTATATCAGTGGAAACGAAAGAGATTCAATGCGTTTACGTTGTTTTGTCTAAGGTATATCACAATTAATGTAAATGATACAGACTTCTAATTATAAATATATACTAGGCAAATAGTAATTGATAAAAAAGGCTATAAAACAATACATTTAACACAGCTACAGCTTGCATGTTTACTAAATGGATTTTACAATAGAGCAGTAACACTGCTTTTCCTTTCGACTGCAAGGAAGTAAAAATAATAAAACGTTATTTCATTCCTATTAAATTATGAAAAATCGTTAATGAGAGTTTACTAGTTTGTTCTTTAAGTGTCTTATTCTGTCCAAAACTTAGATCACATAGAATTACATATTTTATCATATTGCAGTTCTTTATGTAAAGATTGTATCGTGTCCTTTAGTAAGTTAAGAAATTAATTACAAACTCGATTTTTTTGTTTTCACAAACTTAGTAAGTGCAAATATTTTACCTTAGGGTCTAAAAGTACTGCTTATGTTAAAGGAATACGAGCATAAGAAGGAACAAAATTATTAAGTCACTAAATCAAGGAAGTTCATGGTTTTTTTTAATTGAATTTAGGAGGATGAGCAATATGCAGAGGTTTTCCTCGTAGACACAGGTGAGATGCGATTATGCGAGGAGCCGCGCAAGTATCTGCAACCGCTGCTGCCTACCTTCTGTGTGCGCCCACCATACGCACGCTGCTGCCATCTCGCAGGGGTATGTAACATTAAAACAGCGTTGAACTTACTGAACATGGATCTCCTTAAAGTGAAGTCTATTTAGCTTTACATACTGAGAATTGACGTCATAATTTATTAGATGAAAATTTAAATGAACTGTGATGTCACAGGCTCCTTGATTTACAAATCTACTTTTACGAGTACTCTTATTCCGTATTTGAAACCTGATTAATGAAGTTGAATAAGTTTTTGTAAACCTTGAATGTGCATGTGCATGTTTCCGCGCAACTTGGTGTAATGCGTTACGTAAAATTGTAACGTGAAACAGAATTTGGACGGCGCTCTGTCATTTAATTTAACTATTGCTTTATAAAAATTGTACCATCAGGTTGAACTAATAAGCGGCGAGGACAAGGAGCTGAAGGAGAAGCAGGAGAAGTTCCTGAGCCAGTACATAGGCAGGCAATGCAGCATTGAAGTTGATGACAAGTACGTGCAACTATAGTTTTATTACTATATACATAATTAACAAATTATTTCATTTTTTTTCAATATTACCCATCCTAACATGTTTCAACATTTTATACTATACAGGGTGTAACCGCAAGGTGTAGTCATATTAAAGGAGCCAAACCTATACTTGATCTAGACCCTCTGTGCAAAATATCAAATAAAAATAAGTGACTTTTAATGTTGATATAAGTTTAATTATGTTTGTATAAATAGTGATTGTCCGAAACAACCACTGCGTCACAACTCTATTGCTAGTTACGTTACTACGACTTCATAAATTCATTCATGAAACCTGGGCGGCCGCAAGCGGGGCGAAAGAACAGCTGACTACAATTGAAATGCCACTGTAAAAACATGATTTGAATATGTTGATAACACGTTTATATTAAGTAACAAAATCTTTAAATACCTAGAAAAATCGAATTATTTCTAACAATATTATTTTATGCCATACCTAGGTACGTACTTATTTACATACAATTTAAAGGATATTTATTTACTTATTAAGCCCGTAGTTACGCACGCCTTCATCGTATACACATTCTACATAATTTTGTATTAATACATTTATTTACGACAATTTTACAATAGTGGATACTTTTTTAATTGGTACTTACCTACTGTTCAATTCATACACGTTTTAATGAATTTCCTACGAATTGTAATTCACTGTTGTACAATGTACGAAATATTGACTTGTTTACGATAATTTTGAATAATAAGTACAATCACTGCACGCACTGCTGGCACATTTCACACATTTACAGGTAAGGTTCAAAATGCCGACCTCCATGCAATATGCATATTTCCGTGCGTCGGTACAGAGACTGCTCTACTCTTTGAAGCATCTGCCGAGTGATTTGACTAAACGCCATTTCGATCCGCTGCCTCATTTCTTCTGCGCTTTCACAGGACTCCGCATAAACAATATTTTTATATGACCCCATAAAAAAAATCGAGCGGTGTCAAGTCTGGGGACCACGCTGGCCAGGGTACAGGACCTCCCCGCCCAATCCACTGCGGGAAACGGTCGTTCAGATGGGAACGTACATTTCGAGCAAAATGTGCGGGTGCTCCATCGTGCTGGAAAGTCATCCTGTGTTCCATCACGAGTCTCACGTATTGTGTCACTGGCAGGACCATCAGAACGTCATCCAAGTCTTCTGTTAGGAATCTTAAATAATTGGCCCCATTCAGACTTGCCGGCAAAAACACTGGACCGATGACGGCACAACCTATTATACCAGCCCACACGTTAATCCGCCACTGGTGTTGAAAATTTGATTCCCTTGATACGCGGGGATTCAAATGAGTCCAAAAATGTTCATTATTCATATTGATAATGCCCGCACGCGTAAATGACGCCTCGTCTGTCCACAGTACCGACGAAGCGAAGTCGGGAGACCTCCTAACCTGGTCGCGGTACCAGCGGCAAAATGCCAAACGTAGATCATAGTCCGCTTGTAACAGCTCCTGCGTTCTTTGAAAATTGTATGGGTGCTGGCCATCATCCCGTAGCACACGCCACACACTCATATGGTTCACACCACCAAAGGCTGCCGCAGCACGACGAGTACTTGTCTTTGGATTGCCGAGAAAATGTTCCAAAACATCTGCCTCGAATTTTGGGTCTCGTGAACTCGGCCGGCCTTCAGAACTGGAACCACGGAACGATCCACTATTATGAAGTCTCATAACCATCTTCCTGAAGCATTCCACAGTAGGAAACGGTCGACATCGATTTTCTGGGACGCCATCAATAAACTTTGCCCAATAAATTTGGCGAGGCTGGCGCAAGCTCCCATCGGCTGCGCCTACGCACAACATCATCTCTTAGTAATCACTAATGCTTAAGCGTGACATAGTTTAAATAAACACAAAAACAAAACGATGACACCTATTTAGTCCTCACAACGCAAACGGCAATTACAGACTGTTACAAAAAATTAAAAAATAGCGCCTCTGCCTCAGCGGCGGCACATCAAAGGACGCTGACTGAAACGCAAATTTTGGAATATAGGGTAACGTTTTCATAATGTACCTACAGGATGAAATTAAAATTATTACCATCCTTTTAAAATAAGACCCTTCTCATGATACAAATTACATCATTACATACACATTAAACGAATACCTATATCCTACGTCTACGACCTTCAACGTTGCACTGCATACGCCTTTGTTTGTAAACAAGCTCTGACCATCACCCGTACCACTTCCACACAACGCAAGAACTGACTGGGTGATTACAGATATACTGCACTAAGGAGGCAGTCACCCATCGGAAACTCACGACGTCCGAAACGAAAGCCTAACACTCTAACCACTATACCATGGAGGCAGTCGACTATAGGAATCAAATCCACGACCTCCGAAAACGAAGCCTAACACTAACCACTACACCATGGAGGCAGTCGACTATGGGAATCAAATCCACAACCGCCGAAACGAAAGCATAACACTCTAACCACTACACCATAGAGGCAGTCGACTATGGGAATCAAATCCACGACTTCCGAAAAGAAAGCCTAACGCTCTAACCACTAGACTATGGAGGCAGTCGACTATGGGAATCAAATCTACGACATCCGCAAAGAAAACCTAACACTCTAACAACTACCCCATAGAGCCAGTCAACTATGAGAATCGAATCCACGACCTCCGAAACGAGTCTAACATTAACCACTACTCCACATCACGATGTTTAAAATCAAATGCTGGCGGCGAAAATCAAAGGTGATATTTTTGCCGCTAAAGTTGCCGCCAAAGGCTTGCGACTTCGCTACGATTACGTATCGCGTACGCAAGGCGACTAATCTTGATACTTTGTTTATTTAGGTAAAATTTTTTATGGTTTTACACTATTGCTAATTTAAACTATTCTAAAATATTTCTTTAGATGAGTAGATATTATTAGGAAGCAAGAACCTTAATAGGTTCAACGGATATTAATTATTTCAATTTCACCATGTAATAAACCCATACACAGAAAGTTGTCGTGTGTAGATAAGTCAAATTAAGCGTAAGCCTGTTGTTAGAAACGTGCGCTCAGCAATAGACGTATGTAAGTTAGTAAAGTACTATTTTTTGCACAAGGTTTAGTCCACTACACTTTCATAGTAAGTACTGGTTGGAAACTTGACATTCTCGCATCTTTGAAGATTTCGGCAATTATCTCCGAAATCCAAGTTTTCTCACGATATTTTCATTTCCAAGCAAGTGATGAAAATTTATTTTATTTTTTATTTTTTATTTATGGCACAATGTACAGACATCAGATACAGAAAGTGAGGAAAATAAAAACACTTAAAAATTAATACAACAGGCATATCTGTGCCCAATTATTACTGTGCTCAACATTCATTTTAAAACATTTAGATATACTTAAACAGACACTAAATCAATCATAAAAAAAAAATTAAATTAAATTAAAATTACAATAATTAATTCGTGGTCAACGATCAAAACTAATTTCTTGACGTTTGCCGACCTTCAGGTTGCACCTTTACGATGAAAGTGTCCCAATACAAAATTTCAACTTTTTGGGAATAAAAAAGAAAATAAGATTTCAAGTTGTGACATTTTCATATTATTTTATTTATTACCTACTCTTGAAGTACTAAAGGTGATGGCCTTATTAGTCTTTGAAAATAATGAGGAAAAATGGAACTTTACAACTGAAAATTGTTTCTGATCATTTTAATGTTCAACAATTTAAAAACATAATTTACAAAAAGTAGTCGCCAATAGGTCTTTTTTTTAACGATTTTTTTGTTATCATTTAACGTATTAAGAATTAAGTCTTTTTAATGTTCATCATCTAAGCAAGATGTCATAACCCTTGATATTGTTTTGTGGTCCCTGTTTCACAATTAAAAAAGAAGAAAGTCCACGAAACAAAAAAGTAAGTCCCTTTAAAAAGTAAGTTACTAAAAAAAATATATTTTTTTTAAGCGACGGGTCGAACAAGTCGTGTACCCGGTGGAAAGCGTCACGCCTGTCCATAACAGTAGCACTGCCGCTCGAAGGCTACTGCTACGGCGTCCATCTCTCTGAGACATAGTTGACAAGTCCCATGTGCCTGTAATTTCACCAGCACCCTTACCCTTCAAAACTGTAACACGGTAATGTGGCAGTACTACCCTGGACGAACTCACAAGGAGCTCTACTGCTACTAGTAATTTTTGAATATGATTTTCGGAACGAAAATGGCTCAAATGCTAATCCGTCAGTGGCAGCGTGTTGTCTTTGCAAATGCAGATTCAACAATAAATGCGGCGTTAATATTTCGACGCGGGAGTAGAATTTTTAAACTGAAAGAACAAAATGAAAGGGACCTTTATGAATCAATGCTGTTCAAGCTTTAATTGCACAATTTCATCTTCACCACAGTGTGACTAATGTAACAAAATATTTTTTTAAGATGGTTTTACGGTATAAACTCATTTTTTAATTTTTCGATTTGGGTCGCTTTCATTGTAAGGGTGCGAAGTATTAGTCGGATAATTGCGTCATATTGCGTCATGCGTTAGAAGAAACATACCGACTGATTCGCTAGCCGCCATGCGTTAGAACAGTACCGACGGATAGAAAGAGACAAATTTCATTCATTAAAATACAATAGATGAATGCGTATTATTAAATATGATATGGTAAAAAGAAACAGAGATAACTTTAAATATGTGTTTTTTAGAGGACATTAGTTTTATTAATGGATATTAAATGGAAATTTGTGTATTTTGTATGATTGAAGATATGAAGTTAACGAAACCATATTACGTTATTATGTACTAAGTTTTAAATAATAGTTTTATTATGAAGTAGTGTATTTTGGCAAAGTAATCGATAATATTTATTTTTCATTAAATGTTCACACGCATATTACATGAATAAAATAATAATAAATTGAGTAAATTATAACATAGCAATAAGAATATGGATTTAGTACTTTATCATTTACAATAACATGCCTGAATTTCACAATTTTTTCAAGTTACGTAATTTGGTTGTATTATGATACTCAATAGAGATGTGATGTGACTATTTATTTTCGTTAAATGACATCAGCTGATCGAAACTGTTCATGGCGAAATTTCCATAAATAACGTAGTGTGTACTAAAACAACTTTAAATAGTTCCATACCATTAACTGAATCCGACCTTCAAATATGACCACACCTTGCTGTTACACCCTGTATACTGTAATAGACCTATTAAGCCTTATATGCCCAACTGTTGAACACAAGTCTCTTCTAAACAGTGAGTTTATCATAGCCCCAATGAAGACACACATTTAAAATATAATTATTCCACTGTATAAGTTTATTATAAGTGTGGTAGAACAAATTTAATTCTTAACATCTTATTTGTGTAAAAAACCACTTTTTTAAATTTGTTCTAAGCCTTTGTCGTTTTTTGTTGTTGTTATAATCATAATGTTTTCGACTGAAGGATTTTGTATCCAGGTCATGTAACAAATTTAAAAAAAAATTATGTTTCAGTACTTCCGAATCATTGGGCGTGTACGTGAGACTGTCAGAGAACGAGATCCTCAATGAAATTCTTATTGAACACGGATTCGCTTGCTCAAGTGAGTTTTTACTTGATTGCATTGTAGATTTTCTGTGTTTCACATGATAAATAGGTGAGCGACGTGAAGATTGACAGATGACATCGTAACACATGTGGTGCACACTGTACACATTCAGCAGTAGCGTTAGCATGATAGGGCGCGACTTGCACGAGAGCGACACAGCGCGAGATACTACTATTCTCGCATAGAGTATCTCGCGCTTTATATCACTCTCGCATAAGTCGTGCCCTGTCGTGCTACTGGTCGGTATTCATTAAGTAATGCTCGAATCTAGAGGTAGGCGCTTAATCGAAAAGCACTTAAAAAGTTTGCATTTTAAAATTAGCACGTAAGCACGCTTTTCTATTGAAGCGTAAACGTTGGTCAGTTTATATTCAATAATTTCATTTTTATAACGTGCTTATGTTTCAAGTCCCGCCATCTATGTTGCATAAACAAATTAATTCGTCAATGTGAATAATAATTTTATGAATAAAAATAAAACTCATGTTTTACAAATAAACTTACTTAACTTAAAACTTTTAGTGATCTACTCTTGCTTTTCGCTATCAACACAACGTTGCAACCTTTTTTTAACATAAAAGCTATGCACTTAAACATTTTTCTAAACAATTTTGTAAGTTTCAAACTAGAAAGCATTGTTATAAGCACGCTTTTTTTTAAAAAAAACCACTATGTTTAAATGTTTAAAAAATAAGCAGTTTTTTCCATCTCTACTCGAATCAGAGCTGTTGGATTGCAAATGAATAATAATAATAATGTGCCAGACAACCACCAATGTACCAGAGTAACGGAATCCACTCCCAGAACCCTTCCCCGAACACCCAGACCAGAACCAATTTAGAAAAGTTAATTTCCCAAATTGTCCTACCTGGATTCGAACCGTCCAGGACCTCCTCATCCAGTGCCCACTATTTAAACCGTTAGGCCAACGAAATCGTCAAATGATGATGAATGTATCCATTCAGTAAGCACCATAAGATAATTCAATATCAAAATGAAACATTTGTTAATCTGATGAATCAGAACTTTTAAAGCACACTTTTGTACACAAAGTATAATAGTCGTTGTGATACAATTGACAAGAAAACCAGAATTATGAATTTGTTTTTATTATTGTGAAATTACTCCACTAGTTTGATATAATTATTACGCTTACGGCGTATAAAGTTGAAAACTCAATTCAAAACTCTATAACAGACAATTAGAAGAATTTCGTTGACTGAGTTAACTTAACCTGTAGCTCAGTTGGAAGAGCGATGGGAACGGAATCCCGTGGTCGCAGGATCGAGTCCTGTCGAGTCCTTTTCTTTGTGTTCGATCTTTGTATGTAATAATTAAAGGAAACCAGAAACCCGGAATTCTCCTTTATTTCTCCAGAACCTTAACAGAATCAGAGTCTGAATTTCAGACTGTTATGTCCAATCCTATACATTTCTGTAATAATCATATTATTGGTCTGCATTTCAAATTGGGATTCAATTTAGATGGTTAATCAGACGGGCAATAATTGCCGTTGCCAGAGAAAGAAACACAATCGAATACATTGACTGTCAGTATGTTAACCGACTAGGCATACATTGCAAGCTCTACAGTTTGCAACAAGTTATAAATTACTAATATTCCTTGCAGCTGAATCCAAATCTCCTCAAAAAATGACTGCAGTGTCCCACGGTACCCCCGAGCTTCGTAAGCTCGACTCGGAGCTCGACTTGGCTCTCTGCCCTGAGTATGAAGATCCAGTAGAGGCTGTCACAGTACGTACCTTTTTAATTTCTTTTTAAATATTGATTTAGATTTATGTGCTTTAAGAAAGTGCTCTCGAAGTATGATATAGGCAGTATTTTTGGTGCATACACATTGGACGTTTACTCGTGTATTGAAGTGTTTAAGGACGACGTGTTTGACTCCTATTAATATTCCCAGGGCTACAGCTACCGCGATGAGGCAGATATCTGCAAACACTACAAGGGTGGCCCTAATAAGAGCTGCTTCAAGGGATCGCGGTGCACCAAGAAACACATTGTCAAACATCCTGGTTAGTAGTTAATACCATTATAAATGGTATCATTTATTGTTGTTTTTTGAAATATTTATGATTTGTTGATGATTTCCTCGCCCGCAACTGAGCATAATGCAACAAAGGTCGATTTGGGAATAAATTCACTGCTGCATACTATGTGTAGTACACACTTACATACACACTATTTATTATACATATAACACTTAGACGGTAGCTTACTGTAGTTTGATTCTTGTCTATATATTTGCAATAAAGAATGTCATTGTATTGTCTTTATCAGTTTGTTAGCTCCATAACTCGATGTTAACCAAATTTTCTTCCATATATCATAACAACATAGCTAAGCATTTTGATATCTAATCAAACCACCACTCGCGCTACACGCGTTAATTTGGAGCAGAGTTCTTAAGGCAATTTCGCGAATTACATCTTTTGTGAACTTTAAACTGTCGAAATTTCAAGTACATAAATAATTTAGGGACATATTTGTGATGTTTTTGTAAAGACTGGTGCCCACTGCCGCCTAAAAGTAAGAACCTAACTGTTAGGGTCATTCATTAACCCTTTTCTTATGTGCAGATGGGTGGACTCTGGACCGCGTAGAAGTTACTGGCAAGTGCGCTGCGTTGCCGCTGCCAGCGCCTGGCACGTGGCTACGCGTACTAGTCACCTGCGTCTGCCACTTCGACCACCTCTACGTGCAGTTCATCGAAGAGGAGCCTGGTAACATATTCACTTCCCGCTGCCAGTCTCTTCTAAAAATCTGAGGACGACGCCGTGGAAACAGTGGAGGCCTGTACCAATTATTACTTGCTTTAACGGTGAAGAAAAACATAAGATTGATCGATCGCCTCGCGCACCACGGGAAGAAAGACCACGATCTTTTTCATTCTTCGAGACAGGGTAAAGCTAGACGCCATATTTTATATATTAGACTGCCAGATTTTAATTTTTCTACAATAATTTCATTTAAAGACAAAGCCAAGTCTTCTGTGTGATCGTCTGTTTTTCTCAATAAGCGATGTTTTTTTAATGTTTCTACCATGGTCCAGTTTTAATTGTTATAGTCTAATTTATCACAAGTTTCATGTGCAAAAATGGTATTAAACTAATGTGCAAATATTTACAGACGAAGAGCTGCCAAATTTCGGCGTAGTGCTGCCTCCGTCTAACCTCAAGGCGCTCGTACGAGACATGAATTGCCCTGCGACGCGCATGGCCTACAAACCTCTCACCGTAAGTCTTCTCGTAGGATCGATTAAAACTTGTACCCAGTAATATAGGAGAAATCCAAGCTATGTTGCGATTTGAGAAATTTTATATGACTAGTGCATATTTCGCATAGTGGAGTTAGTTTACAAAAAATATATGATTATCAACTGTGATAAAAAAATCGTGAAATTCAAACACGTCGATAATAAATTACATATTTCATTCTAATGTATTATTTAACATTACAAATTACTTATTTATTTATTTTTTTTATATTTGGGAACAAACAGTTTGCAATACGATTATAGTATAAAAAAGTTAAATAGGTATAGAAGGGTAACAAGGGTGCTGGTGAAATTACAGGCACATGGGACTTGTAAACTTATATTTCAGGGTGTCCAAATCTTTGCGATTTAAAGCTCTGAAAGGCACTGCAACTGTTACGGTCAGGCGTATAGCATACCATCGGGTGCATGACCTGTTCGTCCCGCCTCTTGATATTACAAAAAAAAATCCATTATAAGGGCTACCGGATTTTGAGCGACGTATCAGAATGTGGTAGCCTTTCGTAACCAATTATCTAATCAATTATATATTTAACCTCACAGCTTTATAAGGTTAATAATTGAAATGTCGTTTTACTAGTTTTATATTTCTTAGTAATAATTATATTACATCTTTTTCTGTATAATAATATGCAGTTATTGGATAAACAAATGAAATATTTTCTATAGCACTATTAAAAACTTACTACTTACTTACTTTATTAGACCATGACAGGACAATAAAAAACTGTTCAGGAGCTTTGTGAATTTATCGTTAATAATTCTATGTGCTAATCGCATATTGTTTCAATAGTTTTCGGTAAATAAATAAAAAAAAAATTTATTCAGACAACATTTTTATTTTTGTCCAATAAGCTTGGGTCTTAATTGGCTTGATGTGGAAAATAATATGGAAGGAAAGACAAGAAAGAACAAAGTTTTTCTATTGCCGACTCAAAGTCTAAACATTTTACCCCTTAGCATCGTAAAACACGATGAAAAGAAGGAAGTTCGGTGTGAATGATGTCGCACACGATTACAATATACCCGCTGATAAGTATTTTGTACAGATGGCACCGGCCCATGGCGAACTGGTGGCAGCCTTGTATCCGCCCGATGACCAATGGTATCGTGCCCGCGTCATCACCACCACGCGCGCTGACCAGAATGTTGAGGTTTGCGTCATTATTACGGTTATTACTAAGTTTCATTTCGTTAATTTCAATGAATTGACAAGAAGTGATAATGGACATATTATCGTGTCTTTTTGAATCCCATGCGATTATAGGCATGAAAGTCAAGCGGAAATAGTGACTTTTTTGTGTTTAAATCGTCAAACGACTCCCAAGTGATGAATTACTATTACTGCTTCCGTTGCCGGACGATCACCATGCTGGTATGCGACGCAGAGATCCCGGGTTCGATTCCAGGGCCGAGAGATATAACATATAAAAAAAAGTAAAAAATAGTAATTTGTAGTTGTCTGTGTGTATTGTATCCATGGAACCTGTGATACAGGGTTTCCCTAGTGCGGGACTTTGAGTGTGTGCGTAAAAAAACTAGTGACCACCATCACCTGACACGGAAGTATCCTTAATATTCCTAATGTGTGGTTGGTTAGTCACAGAATTAAGATCAACGCTTATGCCTGTGATAGCACTAGCTTTCATTACCATTCAATCTCGAACAGTGCTACATTACGATAGAATTAGATGGGGTGGTGCGGTTGTACCTAACCTAGCCGGGTATTGCACAGGGATTATCTGCATTTAACCACTATATGCATTTACCACCTGGTAAAACGATATAATCTGTAAATGATAGCTAAAGGACTTTAAGTCCATTTGGAATTTAGATGTTTTCGCGCAATGGTAAAATGCATTAAATCCTAGCGTTGTTTTTTTTAGTTTTAAGATATTTTATTTGACCTAAAAATTTGGTTTTAAATGCCTCTTTAGAACGTTCTGTAGTAAAAAATACTATTTGGCACTTAAGGTTATTTACCTCTCACAGATATATCACAATGAATGGTAGGAAAGTTTAACGAACAAAATTTCAACCCAGGTGAAGTATATTGACTACGGCAACGAAGTGTGGGTGCGTGAAGACAGCGTACGAATGCTGGAGCCTCGACATGCCCTGCTGCCAGCGCAGGCTGTGCGCTGCGCGTTGGCCGGCGTGGGGGCCAAGGGCCACGACTCGCGGCAGTGGGCGGCCGCCAAGCAGCAGCTCGCGCGGATGACGCAGGATAGGACCCTCGACGCCCATGTCATGTTGGTATACTACGTACATATATAATACTAATTATTAGCTTACGCATAATTATTTGTAACAATACTAACAACCTCGCCATTTCGAAAAATTTTTCAGGGGAGCACGTTTTAGGTTTTAACGATTGTTTTAAAATATTTACGTTCTCTTAAACTGCCTCTGTGGCCGAACGGTTACCATGCCACTGCCACGCAGAGGTCCCTGGTGCGATTCCCGGGCCGGGAGTAATATTTGTGTGGCCTACATTTCTTTCTCTCGTGATATTGGGTGTAATTTGTGGTTGCCTATGTGCGTGTCCATGGCACCCGCGACACAGGGTTTTCCTAATGCGGGGCTATGTTGAGTGTGAGCATTAATAGTGTGCGTTAATCGTAAAATTCAATTTTGGTTTTAATTAAGTATTTACTCTAGCGCTTTTTGTTACCGTACAGAGTTATCACCGTTCACAGTTGTCTATTTATATATTTTTAATTTTGTAGGAAAGTGAAATGATGAATTATTAAATTATTGATGGATGTAAGAAGTTGTGAGAGCTTTTTAGTATTTTACAAATATATGATCCCACTGCTAGGCATAAGCCTTCTCTCCCAATGGGAGAACTTGGGCAATGGTTCCCTCGTGGGCATTGCGTAAAAGAAATGTGTCGCACAACAATTGTAACAAAAGGAATAAATAAAGGTTATAATTCAAATTATAATGTTACGGTCATCTTGAACTTGTTATCTAAAAGAGCCCATATTACGTTAAACACGTGTGCGATCATTTCTTTCGCGTATTTGTCCCTTTTAAGAGACTCTGGTTGCAGAATGCGACTTGAGTGAGTTTGCTGAGTTACCTTGAAATTATTTAAAGTTAAATATTATTCAACAAATTACCATTATAAACTTCATCAAAGTAAACTAAGTATATGACTTAAAGTTTCCTCGCGTAACAGAAGGGATCTGAGAAAGTTGTTATCTCTCAACAGTACCTGCTGAAGTTTACTAAATATTCTTGGTATTCAAATTCCCCAGCCCGGATGTGTGAATGTGAGTTATGGTGAAATTGATCTGTAAAGAAATCTCTGTTTTGACCAATCATGACCTTAGCCAGCGTACCGCGGGAGGGGAACATAAACGTTTCCTCTCGCTTATCACAAAAATCAGTGCTTATATATATTCATAAGCTAAAGTTTAATTACTACAGAAATAGGTGTGGCAGCTGTCATATGAAACAAAAATCTTCTATTTACTTATTGGCGGTGCCCTTTTTAGATTTCGTCATTATCGAGCTTTCCGCTTAGTAATTTTAAAGGCTTTTACAGGTTCTGCAATTCATCTACCTACTATTGTGGGAGTACAATGAGAGAAAATTTGTATATATATATATATATATATATTTATGCACTTTTTATTTTTTTGGATTTACACGCCGAGCCCAACCCGACCCGATCAATAATTTAACACAAATTTGTTTATAAACCAATTCGGCTACTAGGATGTTGATGACGAAAAAAATTAAATGACTAAGTTCTTGTCGAAAATGTCAATAGTGTTGTACCATTCCTGATTCTGCATTAAGTGGAGCAGTTTTTAAGATTATTAGCAAGTTCAGTTTCATACAATTTTTTTTCGCACTAGCTATTCAAAGTTAATGTTTAGCTTTTTACAAAGGTACGAGCTAAACCAAATTAATAACTATCCTATTTTATGATATTTCTCAGTGAAATATTACTTGCTGTACCTGGAAAAACTATTCAGAATCCCCGAAGTACAAGAATAACCGTCTGGAGCTAACCCTGGCAATAGTAGCATAAAACCCAACAAAAGGTAAAGTAATTCCAAAACAAATAAAAAGTGCCAATATCTCGAAAACCAAAAGACTTTTATTAAGGTCAAATGGGGTCACCGGGGTATATAATAATTATATGTGTAATAAGTATAATTAAATAAGTAGTCAATATAATAATATGTTATATAAGCCGCTCTCCAATTATAATCTTGTTATTGCTAGTTATATAAACACATAGAAGAACGATAAAAGGGAAATTGACATAAGAAATTATTTAGCATGCATAGACATGTAATGTCATAAGTACTTAGCATCAAGATAACATTTTATACGCATTCAGGCGTTTGTTTTATTTGTTGTTTACTTATGTGAAATTAATAATGAGTAGTGTGGGTCGATCACAGACATTTTCCTATAAAAACCGAAATCTAAAATATCGCAAATTTACAGTGCCCGCGACTACGATGAAATAACGGTGGAGCTATTCGACGAACACGGCTACAGCATAGCGGAGCAGCTGGCTGCGCTGGACATGGTCGTGCTTAAGGACTTCGTTGTTCTGGACGATAGCAACACTTTGCACAAGCAAGTCGTGCCTTAAACTCTTCTTTATTTTATCAGTAGCCTTTTGTGAAACCCCGAAATTATAATAACATAGGTATGTTCTAAAGTTAGAACAAAGTAAACTAAACACTGACAAATTGGATATGGACGCGTAGATATTGAAAAACACACATCTATATATAAGTATATATTTCATTATATATGTGTACGTTACGTGCGTACGAATACTTGCCTTAGAGGTATTCCTTGTTTCTCATTACATTGTGTATAAGTTAAATACTTGCTATATTCGACAAACTTTATAGCTTTTTCTTTATAAATGTCGCCAATTACACTTGATAAGGATTTACGCTGACGTTCTATGTTGACCATGTGATTAAAAAAAATATGTGAATTTCCTAAATTTCCACAACAAAAGCTGTTTATTTTAATTATAGGAATGACGTGTTCTACAGTTTTTAGTTAATAAACTTGTGCGTCTATATCAAATAAAGAATCTTAAGTGCCAAAGACTAATTTTTACTATAGAGCGTTTTTAAAAAACAGTTTCAAATATAACTGCCTACAGCTCTTAGGACTTTCGACATAATCGACTTAGGACATAATCAAGATCCTTGGTCTGAAGTCAGACGTTTCGGGCGACGTGTGCTCTGATTCAGCAGAATGAGCTGTGCCAGGCTGTATGCTACCTATAAAGCGTTCGTGACCAATAAAGGCCTCCCTAGCCCCAGCCTTTGCCAGCTCATCCGCTGCCTCTTTAACTTCGATGTCAGAATGGCGTGGAACCCAGCGCGGGAACACTTTATTCCTTTCCCCGAGAGTATTCAGTATAGTTACACAGTTCTCTACAATCCTCGATGTTTGAGTAACCGAGGCTAATAAGCGCACATGCAATTATGGCTTACATTTCGACCTGTACAATGGAAGAGTGTTGTCCCATGTTCTGCTTGTAGCTGAGCCTGAGTCGCACACCGTGTATACCACAGCCTCCGTCGAGTCTCATCTTCGGCCCATCGGTATACCAATAAAAACTACCATCCTTCCTGGTGAGGTTCCGTTACTCTCCCAATTTTCCTTTGGTTTCCTAAAGTTTTGATTGGGAAGCATGACATCAGATGTCATTCGTAGAAGAAAGTGTTCCAGGATGGAATCTTAACCTTGTTATAAGCGTTCGTTGGACCTCGAAATTATTTATAATGAGGTAATTTGATCTAAAAGTATCCATATATAATTTGTTGACACCTTGTATACTATATTACTATAGCAATTGTACTCGACGTTAAGAGCAGCTTGTTTTTTCGGACAAAACATTTAAGAGTTGTGTACGAAACTACGCGAAGCGCGGCAGATTTTCGCATAAAATAGTTTTTTTGTGTACAAAATAGTGAAAAAGCTGTTATGATGTAAATTTGTGAAATGTAATATGCCTCGATTAACCAATTTCTTAGGCAATATGCTCAGAATCGTGTTGTAAGGACGCCTCGTCACTGATATACACGTATGAATAAAGTGTTACTGCCAAATGTCCAAATAGTTTTAAAAAATCTAAAAGAAGTTTAAAAGTACAATTCTCATTGTTATAAATATAATGTTCAGTTGAAAAGTTATTTTGTTCGCACAAATTGAGTAAATTAATTGCTGTTCTTAGGGTCATATTCTAGAACTCTACTCAATGCTCAAGTCAGGATTGCAATTGAAACACAAGCACTGGAAATACGACCCTAATGCCAGGGACTTGAGTATGATTTCGAGTGCTTTAAACCATACTCAAATCCTGACTTGAGCATCGATTATAGTTCTAGAATTCGACCCTTCGTGTTGAACTACACATTCCTTATCTGCGTCTTAGTACTGCGCACGTAAGTAACGCAGGTTATTCAAACACCTCTTCTGAGGTCCGCTCATAGGGATAAAGAGGAGAAGAAAGATAAGGAGCCTTATTTATGACTAGCAAATGATGCATTGTTGCAGTGTACTTATTAAATGTGCACTGGTGCATAAAAACTTGCCAAGGTAGTGATGAGTAGTGATTTAGAGTTTAAGAAGAAAGCTTTAACTTTATAGAGTTCGTTCAAATTAATGTATGATAATACCCATTTGTAACGGAGAGTATTATATAAAAAAAAATATTATTATAGTAAAACCTGTATCTGAAGAACAATAAAAGGTTATTTAGGTAAAATTCACAGGTACCACAACGACATTATTGTACTCAACATTAGTTTTGCTACTTAGGGCGCGTTCCCATTATGTAGTGACGACAGATAGTCGTGCAGTTTAAAGTGTCGTGACTTGTATATTTAAATGAAGTACTTCACACATAGAACAACACGATTAACTGTTGTTCACGACGACAATGACAATGGGAAGAGCTAGAACGACAGATAATCGCAGCTTCAAGCGATTCTGTCGTGCAAACGACAAGGCTGCCGTGCACCGATAAATTGTCGTCACGATCTAGTGGGAACAGCTTGGCACGACAGTCGTTCAACAATAAAATAAACATCCACGACACTGTCACGACAGATAGTCGTGATTTGGGAATGGACTAGACGCGACCGTCGTCGTCCAACGACAAATAAAACGTTACGACATAATGGGCACGCGCCTTTACTACTATTGACTCGTGTCATAATCATAAGTATATATAAATTAATTAAGTATATTGTTAGGTAATTTGTTAACAAAATATTCTTTGATAATTTGTTAACAAAATTGTGAACTGTAATATATGTAATATAATCAAACACAAGTTGATGTATGTTTTGTTAACAGCCAAAAACGTAGATATCAATCCCCCACACATTACGTTTTAAAACTTTTGAATAAATTTTCAAAAAACTCAACCAAGTCAATTTAACTATAGATATCTGTAAATGTACAATTTGTTATTGTTATAAATTAAGTTTCTAACCCGAAACACAGACGATATTTTTTATATGCCATATCCTTTACTAATAAGGCTAGTATTATTTTTGTTATGAACGCACGTTCAACAGCCAACAAAGAATTGGGCAGGTTCATTTAACAGGCCATAATGCCAAACCCTACCAGCAGCTTGATTTTGATTGCCTCTCCCGATCGGAAACTACGTCTTTTCCGAGTCGAGGCGTACAACATACGTACACTCTCCAGTAGATCGACCATTGCGAAACCCAAATAGTATGCAATCTTGTGGCTCTACTAACAAAAAAGAACGTCTGTGTCGCTATTTCTCCTGGCATTGATAGTGAATTGCCACATCTTTCCACAGGAAAGTATTTGTACAGTTTTACGTTTCTGCTCCAGTTACTTTAGAATACCTACAGAAATGTAAAAAATACGATATTATACGTATTTATTACTCATAAATTTCTGATAGAGTTATTGATAATGAGTCCTTCTGACTGTGAACGGTTTCATTAAATTGTGTACACATCGCACCCCTCATGGAAGAATGGCATAAATGGAGTTACGTCAAATGTTTATTGCTCCATTAGATACTGAAAAATATAACCCACATCCTCTCTAATTCTTTTAACTCTATCTACAATATTAGTCGATAGAATTACAATAATTGGAGAGGACGTGGGTTATATTTTTCTGTATATAATGGAGCAGTAAACGTTTTTCACGTAACTCCACTTATGCCATTCTTCCATGTGGGGTGCGACATGAGCATATGCACTGCCTGTCCACCAACAATACTAATAAGGTACCTAATACGTAAATTATTTTGAATAAGTTATGTGTAATAATGACTGATTAAAAATAAAGATGGCATTTTGAAAAATTACTTTTATTATTTTAATAAACTTATAATCCAGTTAGTTTACTATCAAACATGATTGACTTCATGGTGAAGTAGTTACAAGATAAAACATTTGAGCAAACGATTTTAGCTGTATTCGTCACGATCTAATAGACCCGTTTTAACACCTCATCGCAACAATGGATGTGAACCAATAAATTGTTGACCTCATTGGGTACTATGTTCAACAATTTATAGGTTCATACGAGATTATTACGAGAAATTAATTCAAAATTTTATGAGTGATCCTTTTTTTATTTTGGTTTAAGTTCTAGATAGAACAGTTAATTTATATTTAAATATTAAAACATTAACAAAATATTACATATTGAAATCAGTGAAAAAATTTGTATGTGTAAATTTTTCCTGGTACTGAGCACTTATTTTTTGATTTAACATAATTATAAATAAGTTATTTAGTATTATTACGTGGTATCAAAGTGAGTCTACGAGGTTCGGTAATCAATGGCTTACCAACACATTCTCAACAAAATTGAAGATGTAAATGTATTTGAGACATATTGTAATCATTCAAAATTGCATTTTATTTGCGCATTCACGCGAAACCAATTCTTGAAATGTGTTATATGTGTATAGCGGCAATAAAATTGTCTTTTAGACCGCGATGAGTTATTATTTCCTTATCCCGTCAGTTTCGATGCGTTACTAATTATTTATTTCCTGTTTCGTTGATTTCGTTCAGTTAGATTCTATTAGGTGTCTAAACGGCAATGTTGGGCAAAATTTAATTGTTCTGGCAATTAAAGATTGACAATTAATTAATTGTCAATTGCGAAACAGCAATTAACGATTGATCAATTGTTAGTTGCGAGAACCGCAATTAACAATTGATTAATTGTTAATTGCGGTAATCGCAAATATCTACAATTAACAATTAATCAATTTTCAATCTTTTCAATGTTTTTGATTAACAATTAACAATTAAAACTGACAATTATGATAAATTTATAGGGCATATTGGGGTGAGTTGGGGCGTTGGTTATGGGGTCGATTGGGGGCCCGTTTGGGGGGGCCCCGGTTAGGGGCGTTAAGGGGCCTGTTGGTTAATTGCAATTAAAATCAATTCAATTGAAATCATTTGCAATTAAAATTGAATCAATTGCAATTAATTTCAATTGAATTGATTTTTTAATCTGATTGAATTATTGATCGAAATTTAATTGATTAACGCCCAACACTTCTAAACGGGCGTATTCGATTGTGAGAATATAGCTCTGACAATCGAAAAGCCCAGGCATATCCATTACAATTTAGAAATGAAACAGAATATATATGTATTTTAAACTTGTATTTCAAGAAAACAGTAAAGTTGCAAAGTAAATCTTTCCACTCTTGTCATTAAGGCACTTCCATCTTTTACTCAAGTTTCCTTTTCTTATTTAGCCATTCACAATTTCCAGAGTTTACTACTTATACTATAGACTTTAGTCTAGTACTAATAAGTAGATAAACACTTTCAAATCTGTTTATTACATATTGCCTACCTTATTCAACTCAAAAAATATATAAATATTCTAAATAATAGGTAACTATACTCTAACAAAATTGCCACAGTCACATCTTTTTGAGTCAAAGCACCAAAATGAATAAGCTAATTGTTAACATTATTATTATTATTACAGAATTAATGATCATGCCGAAGACGATAACATACAACATATCACGACACATAGACAAACATTATACATTGTCATCACTAGAAGACTAACTGCAAGTGTACACACACCTAATGTATTCCCAAGTTTAATATAATATAAACATCCACTATAAACTAGCTAGCTCTCAGTACCCTAATGTATCCTAGGATTACACACGTAAAAACCTCATCTGTAAGAATTTTTAAATGCTAGAGCAGTATTATTTTAAATGCTAGAGTGTAGATACATAAAGCTTACAATAGCACGAGATGAACACTCCAGGTCAATGACAATTTATGTAATTACATAAATAACATAACATTTAGAAATACATACATGACACTATAATGATTTCTTTGTGACTTTAATGACTAGACAATAGACTAGCAGTCCGAATATTCTAAGCCTCGTACAGCAAGCTCGGAATTTTTAATTTGGCAAGTTGAAAAACTGGTAGATTGATTAGATTTTGAGTTTTTAAGTTTACATGTTCATGTATCAGAAACAAATAGCTTTGGTAGTTCTGTTTCCAAGCGAATGACGCGAACCACAGAAGTCAGTCGCCAAATATCATAGGGATTAGTATTTTTAGGAGAATATGACTCTGGTGCTACAAAAGTGCTGTAATAGGAGATTAATTCATGAGACTGATCCCCATCTAAGTCCGCTATCATTAAGGATTTTTCCTGGTACTCCAAATCAGGCTGGCAAATTGGTAGTGGGATTTGTGTGTCAATAGGCTCCCTTGCACATATCTGCACAATATCAGTCTGGCTTATGTTGACATTATGGGTCTGAAATTTGTCAAATGATACTAACACAATCCTCTCTGAAATATCATGAGCTGTGAAATTTGTGTATCGTATATATGATGATACTGAAGCAACATTTATTGTGGGTCTATAGTAGAATACATCAAATGTATTTTTTGGACTCTGATTCTGCACATTGTACCTTACTTCATCAATTTTCAATGCACCCTTTGCCAGGTGTGCACTGTTCCACTGTCATAACTTTAACACAAAACCTCTTATAGAATTGGCAAATGCAAAGGAACTTGGCCTCATTGCATAGACATGGTTTGCAGAGTATTCCCAACTAGTATTAGCAGTGCCATTTCTTTCCAACACCAGTTTTAAACTGACTCTACATGAGTTTGGACATTCTCCAGAGTTCTCAACTATGAGTTTTCCTGGACCATTAGTAAATACTTCTCTTGTGTTACCAATGCTCTTTTTCAAACTGAGATTAACTTTTTTCACAGCAGAACCTGATGGAATTCTGTTTGCAGATTGATCAAATTTTGGATTTTTCCTACTGAGAAGATCATAAGAAATCAAACGAACTGCCTCTGTAGTACCATTTTTACAGATATATGTGATTGTATCAGACTCTGTAAGCAATTTTACTGACAAACAGTCGTCAATGGTGATTGGATCTCGAATAATATTGCCAGAAGATCCAGAAATTATCAACAAGGAGTTGTGATTGGTGTTTGGGAAGACAGTGGCCACAGTTAACAAGTCACTCACTTTATCTTGATCCATATCCTTTATTACAATGGGGAAGTCTATAGCTGCAAGGTTACTGAACACTTTTCCATGTTTATGAATATACCAGTAGTATGTTCCTGACAGTGGATTCAGGGCTGCCAATAACCCTTCTGAACCAGACACAATACAGTCCTTTTGCTTGTCCCTGTTCACATCAATAAGGTGACAATTTATCTCTGTAGGTATTCTGTCTTCTCTAGTATACCAGCCCACTTTGCCGGAGTTTCCAACAATGAGCAATACACCATTGACATTGTTATTAATGTGTTTATCAGGTTGTCGCATGAGGTTACCACGATAAATGAATATCAAATTTTTTGTGTTAGGTATTGCCGCTTCCACAACTTGTACAGCCCCAGACAGCTCTATCTCGTCATAAGGAAGCTCCCAACTAGTTGTCTTATCTTGAAACTCACTATTAACACAGGTACCTACTTCCGAGCAAGGTATGCCCCATAGGAACATCACTACAGTGAAGATGCACATAAAAATAGAGGCAATAAACGCACAGCGGCGCGAGAACGACATTTTGTTCGAGACATCCGACTGTAAGAAACTTACGTTATCCATAGTGCTTTCCACTGTATTGACGTTTGTATTAAACTCGTCTATGTCGCTCAAGCTGTGGTTTTTTGAAGAGTGTAGCCCACTGTTGAAATCCACATTATTGCAGCCCTCAGTGCCCATAACTCGGCCTTCATTATCGAACTTGTGATCATCTTCAGAATCCGAATCTGAAAATATCTGCTTCAGAGGCGCGTAGATACCTCCGTTACCATTAGTGGTCATGGCTTATCGCGCATAGAATTGATAACTCTTCTTCACATTGCTTTAAATTTAAATAAGCCGTTCACAACAATAAATCAATAATATCTTGCCGCTGGCTTAGCACTTGTTTTTTTTTTTCTTCTTTCCATAAAGGAAAAGGCAAAGGTTTTACACCATACAGCCAAGTCTTGGTACATTGTTAAGTCTTTTGAGCCATGTCTTCGTTTAATTATGTTTCTATAAATATGGCCGCCACAAAGGGGATAGGCAATTTGAGGTGGCGTGCTTGGATTGGCTCGGGATTCCTTAGAACGGGGAAATACGGGTATTTTAGTTCGAAATTCGTATAATTTCGCGTTTTAATCTTCGATTAAGGCACAATAGCACTATTCTATTCCACTTTAAACTAGATTTCACAAAATAATTGAAAGTCAAAATAAAAACGACACTTTTCCCTCCAAAAGGCCCAGAGCAACTCGCTTATCACTTGACCAGGCTTGACTTTTCTATAAAAAAAAACTCAAACTTTAGACTAGGAGTGCTCGATATATATCGATATTCAAAAAATATCGATATAATGTCCTTAATACAACGAATCACTCCGATATTATCATATCATTCTGTATTTATTATATGTACTATCGATATATTTTATCCGATACAAGAAAAATCGTGCATAGCTGAATTGAAATTACACACTTCAATAATTGTACTTGCAGAAATGAAACGAACTTCGAACGCTGATTCGCTGGTCATCCGTCAGTGTAACGTAGTGGTTATACTCTCATTCACTAGCCGCACACACACAACAATATTACTAGTGCGCGGACCATATTCTTGTGTTAGAATTCAGTAATTAACGAAATACATTTGATTATTGTGTCAAAACTGGTGGTTTTACTATTTACTCTTAATAAAATTTCGTTCCTTTTATCTTTTAGAATTATTTACGATATATCGAAAATATCGATGTTTTGTACAGGGTCAAGAGCATGTCAAGCGTGACGTTCCGGTTTGAACGGTAAAAGTACGTACAAAGTGTCAAGCTTGACGTGCTTTTGACTGTACCGATATATCGCAAAATATCGATACACCATTTCAATATTTCATCGGAGAAAATATCGAAATTTTTTTACATGAAGCCACTACATCCTCAAGGTAACTACAAAATGTTGCCACCTTAAAATTGGCTAACTCGTAGTAATTTATAGAGAATTATTTCCCTTTCGCATCAATTTATTTTCCACCAAAGATTTTTATAAAGAAAAAATAATAATTTTGGACATCTATTTTAGACTCTCGCCTCTTCCACGGCCTAAAAGATTGTTATTAATAATAATCATGAATTATTATTTTGCATACAAATTTATTATTCATTGATAAACAACGTTTTGTGCGGACAACGGCACATCAGACTACACATTTTTGTTCGAAAATGAAGGCTTCCATTGCAACGGAACAAGATACGTCAATGTGTAGCTTGATGTGCTGGCGTGTGTACATACACTTCATGTAGTCTAATTCCTTTAACACTTATTTATTACTTATTCACTTTCGCAACGCAGATTCTCGAAGATGGGTTTTTTATTGAAATAAAGCTAAAATATCTATGGTTGCTTGATAATAATAATTTGTGATCAAAATTCATTTTTCTTTATTTTTCAATATGGCTGTCATACAATCGTTTTTTTCACAATAGACAAAAATCTGCTCTAGACAGAATGAAAATCGGTATCTAAGTTTCTCTACGGGACTATGGATGTTTCATCATATTTAAATGTAGTAGGAATTATTATGTTTATAATATAGCAAGCGAGCTCCAAATCTGTCAGTGGCAACGGTCAGTGACAGTCAGTGTGCGCGCGCCAAAATCTAAATGAGAGAGAGGTCGTGTGCCACTTCGACTATGGCAGCTTCATTCTAGAACCCTGTAGCAAATTGGCCCTAACTAAACTCACCCTCATTCAATCTAAATGTTTAAGAATCATCTCTGGAGCCATGAAATCATCTCCTATAAACGCCCTCCAAGTCGAGTGCCTCGATCCTCCATTACACCTCAGGCGTCAGTTCATGAGCGACAGATATTTATTTAACATCGCCCAATATTCGAATCATCCCCTATTAGAAAAACTTCAAAACCTGTCTGATAGTGTCGCTTCATCACCCTATTGGGCCCATAGGGAAGCCCCCCCATTAATTAAAAGCTTAAATTTCTTGAAAAACCTCCCTTCCCCTATTGTGAAAATCCCCAAAAACCCCCTATTTCAGATCCCTTTTGAAGCGCTAACCTTCCAGCCACGTGTAATCCTCAACTTTGGTGTTTGTAAAGACTCTGTCAATGCTAACTACGAATTTTCAAAGATCTTAAACAATAACTGGCACGACTGGCTCACCATCTTTACAGACGCCTCAAAATTGCAGGACGATGGCAATGTCGGCGCAGCGGTCTGGATCCCAAAGTACAGTGTTCTATTAAGCTTTAAATGCTCTCCTATCTCAACTGTGTACACTGGTGAATCTATCGCCATTCTGGAAGCCATCTTGTACGTGAAGTCACACCGACTAAATAAGACGATAATTTTCTCAGACTGCCGTAGCTCCCTGCAAGATATTATCAAGTTACCATTCCACTCAAGAAATAACTTCCATATCACCCTTCAAATTAAAGAACTATTATTTGACTGTCACTCATCTAATATCGACGTAGCCTTAGCCTGGATCCCTGGACACAAAGGGATAGGCGGCAATGAAACTGCTGATAGGTTTGCAAAGGATGCTATCTCATCTGGCTTGCCGGACCACTCAGGCTGCTTCTCCCGAGATCTACGTTGTTCGGCCAAACCAAAATTGTTCAGGAGCTGGGACGAAACTTTCCAAAAATCGCTCCTACTAAAAGGTAAACACTTTGGCTATCTCCAACCAAATATTCCACGCAAACCTTGGTTCTTCCGCTTCAAACACATACCTAAACCCTATTCATCAATGATTATTCGGCTGAGACTGGGTCACGTTTGCTCCCCGGTTTTCCTAGCCAAAATAAAAGTACGTGATCACTCCCTCTGCGAATGTGGACTAGAGGAAGGCACTCTAGAACACTTATTTTTTAACTGCCCCCTAATAAGCTTCCCACTTTACGATTTGCTTCCCGAAAATATTCCTCGCCCAATAAATATCAACTATTTCCTAGCCAACGCACACTCTCCAGTAGTATTCACTTTATACAAATTTCTAAAACTTAATAACATAAATCTGTAACCAGCCCCGAATAGCCTCTGCTCGACCACATTCATTTAATAATTTTCTGCCCCAACAATGTGAGTCGGAGAAAAATTCTCATTTCTGATCAGTCTTAATTTTTAAGAAAAATGAATATTCTTTATTCGTCCCGTATTCTCCCATTTTCTTTCGTATAATTTTATTTCTTTCTCCATCCTCCATGATAATTTTCCACGCTGACACCGGTCAAAAGTTTGTTATTGAACAAAAACGACGCCTAACTTTGTTTTACTAAACGATTTTATTTTTTATTTCCCGCTAAATAAAACTTCCTACAACGTTTCTAAAAGAAAGAAAATAACATGAGCTCTCAAATTATATTTTTGTAATGTCATTAAAATATATATATAACCGTCATTGTGAATAAAAACCGCCGAAGTATTTTAATAACCGGCAATCTGTCTCACTACCGCTACACATGTCTCTCAACCCTGACATTGGCAAAATCGTCGCGCAAAACGACGGAGCCATAGACATAAAAGTTGAAGTTGAAGTTGAGAGGTCGTGTTTAGTTTCGAAAAGTAAACATTCTCAAAAACAGGTGTAAGGATGTTACTGAAAGAATATAGTTAATGGTGCTAAAATGCGATTATTGAGTGTTTTTACGCATGAAAATATTTGTTATTTTGTGGATTACCCATTGGAGCAGATTTGAACAAATCAAAAGGTGCCTACAGATTTGCTCGACATTGTCGATCGACAATAACGATCGGTACATACAGAATAAATAATTTTTATTTAAATTAATTAATAATGTTCAAAACTGCCGCCTGGGGTTTGTATTATTCAAAACTTTGTTCACAGCTTTGAACATTGAGTTCCTTCACATAAATGGGAATTGTGACATAATTATTGTACTTTTTTATTGTGCTTATTATAAGCCATTCGGGCCGTCTGTCGTTAATCTGTCCATTCAAATCTGAAACTTGAATTCATAATAAACTAACTTAATTCATAATAAAATAACTTCATAGTAAACTGTCTCCGTGGCCGAACGGTTACCATGCCGGACTGCCACGCAGAGGTCCCAGGTTCGATTCCCGGGCCGAGAGAAATAGTTGTATGGCCTACAATTATATCTCTCGTGAGTTTGGGTGTAATTTGTGGTTGTCTATGTGTGTGTCCATGGCACCCGCGACACAGGGTTTCCCTAGTGCGGGGCTATGTTGAGTGTGTGCGTTATTTATTTAAAAAAAAAATAAAAAAAAAAATAATGCATATTATACTACCGTCCTTGTGACACAGTAAACTATAAATTGGTAGACTGCAAATAAAAGGGATTTTGTAGTTTTTTATAGGAGTAAACGTTACTATTCTTTATTAAATATGTATAAATTATCTGCTAATTATGTGTGTGTGTTTCAGTAGTAGTTGTAAATCAATTGTATACTAAAACTTGAAGCATTGCATTTGCAAATTCGTCATGTGGCCACCAACCAATCAGGCACACACACATTGCTAATTTATAATCTAGGCTCCAGTTAATTTGTTGAAACGAACAACACTTGGGCCTCAAAAATAATGTTGCAATATAATAGAGAATTCATTCCGATTCGCTAACATAGGCGGCAAAGATCAAATATAAATAAAATACCATGTTTAGTCTTTAGTTACGAGAGGTCAGCGTAGTGGGGAATAATATTATAATAACATATAATGAAAAATTGTATTGAAACAGATCAAACTAGAGCTCACAAGTGATAGGTAAAGGCTTACACACAATAACACAACTTTTACAGGCAGAATGTATATTTTTGTATATAAATTATTTGCAGTTCTTTTTTATACATTTAATCTACAAACATAAACAAATTTTCTATTATGTCACACTTATTTTAAGTTGGTGCTTTTACCTTACAAAATGGTATAAAATAAGTTTTTAACAATAAATGATTTAAACCATCTTATAAAATATTATGAGAGGGAGATATAGAAAAAGTGCAAAACCATATTGAAGCCGATTTCCGTTTAGTGCTTCATTATACAATGACATCAGCAGAAATTATTATAAAAATATCTGTACACACATGGTAGAAAGAATTATTCTAATTGAGATTATTCAAGGTACACAGTACACCCTACCTTAGTGGACATCACTAGCCAAACCCACCTCTATTTATCATACTAACCAAACAACCATTACATGGCGTTACTAGTGACAATAATTATAATTTTCATATACTAATTAAATTACTATTAGGAAATAAATAAAAAAACAAAAACAAGAAATATTTACATGTTCAGCCTCAAAATACTATCATTGCATATTCAAAGTCACTAATATTATGGTTGCTTATGTTTTGATGGCACTTCTTTTTATTATTTAAAACTAACCACTCTTGGGAGAAATTGAACTGAACAAAGATTCTGTTGCACTTTCGGCTGCATAGGAACAAAGAAATTTTCATAATAATCCTAATCCTTAGCTGATAAATAAATAAATAAAAATATATCTTCTATTACAATAATGTGTGATGTTTTAGGCAATGGACAAGATTAGGCATTAGTGAACAATTTATTAATAAAAATACAAGCAAGGTTTGTTATTGAGGAAAAGAAAACGAAATTGAAATATGTATTTACATAAGACGCATGGTAAATCAGTCTTGCGTTATTTACTCCAACTTATATACAGACACAGAATGACGTAATGAAAGTTATCCGTTTTTTCTTTTCACTAAATACCATAGTTGAGTCCCATATTCAATACTTACATTAATACAATTTTAATTTAGCTATAATAAATTAATATTCTCCTTTACATTTACAAACTAATTGAAAAGGTGCCGGCCCTTTTCTTCTAGCAGCCTGTGCTAGTTTAAATACAATGTTCTCGTTTGTACAAAACATATAATATTATGATACCATCAGAAATATGAAATTACATTATATATGTTAAAATTACGCAAAACGTTTTTTAACATACATCATGCAATTCCATGTCTGTAAAAATGTTTCTAAACTAAGTTAATATGCCTGTATGTTGCCAATGATGTAGGAATCTTCAAATGAAGTTTGATAATCTTGCTAACTAACATATTCACTAGGCATCGGCAGATGCAAATTAACTAAATAATAAATAACAAATAATAATCCAAGGTTAGATCGAGTAAGGGTACTCGCCGAGGTAATCTAAGAGTGCAGATGGTAGTGGTAGACGCCTATATTTGGGGGCGCAAAGGATTTTTGGCGTTAAAGGATTCGAGTCTAGAGCTTTGTGGACAGCTAATCGCGCTGAATGTAGCAGCGATGGTGGACTTTTTCTTAGGGGCGTGGTGAGGAGCACGGGAGAGTGTGGGCAGCCTTCCTGGTCCACCCACATGGTACCCGCGGCACCGCGCTGCCCCAGTCGCGTGTAGTGCTGAATCAACTCGATCACACACTTAAACCGCGGCATATACCTGGCTAGCACGCTGTCGCAATCTAACCTAAAAGAGGTAAAGACTTCCAATTAACTTCACTCCTATTTAACTTAATTTCAAAACTTTTACATGTTGTATTATTATTAGTTTTGCTTCATAACAACGTGAGTAAAGCAAATTATGAATACATTCTATATAAAAATGTTTAACTTGTGTTATAGATGAGCTCTTTCTGAGTATCTGTAGTAGTATAGTGAATCTAGTGAAATAGTTCGTCCAGGGTAGTACTGCCACCTTGCCTATTTCTGCCGCCAAGCAGTAATGTCAGCGTTACTGCGTTCCGGTTTTGAAGGTAAAGGGTGTTGGTGAAATTACAGGCACATGGGACTTGTCAACTTGTCTCAACGGGCTCAATGGCAGTGACCCTCAGATCTTTGCAATTTAAAGCACTGCAATTGTTTTGGACAGCCGTGTAGGTTACCATCAGGCACACAACTTGTCAGTGTCACTTAATATTATAAAAAAAGTACCAATAATTTTCATTATTGTTAAATTCAGTATTAACAGTATGAGTGGTCATTTATTTATAGAAACAAGGAAATTTATCGTACCTAAAATATCCATCTTCAAAGTGTAACCTAACAGAGGTGGGTCCTCGCTCTGTTTGTACTGATAGTGAGAAGATGAATTTCCTATCTCCTGAATCTCGAATAATGAAGGCACCAACACTGGCATCCTTTAAAAGTGTTTGTGCAGCCTGGAAATAAAAACAAGAACTTTATTATTTCAACTGCTCACATTCTATAATTATATCTGTTTTGTAGGAAACTAATTTAGAAAGATGTTTTCTACATATAAGTAATTCAACACACCTGCAACTCCAAATTTCCGTAGTACCAGCCTGATAACCGTAGGACCTGGAGAGTTTCTGAGAGCCGCCTGACTACGTCACTGACAGTGAGGGGGGACACAGGCGGCGAGGGCGCTGTGTTAAGTGGGGGCGGCCAGTAACTCTGCCGTATTGTGCATGGTGGCGTACTGGGCGCGCGCATGCACCAGTGTGGCGCCTGCACGGACTTGGCGCCCGGAGTCACCGTCACACAAAACCCGTGCATGCATTTTGGACACCGTAGCTCTGCTGACCATGAGCAGGAGTTGTATGGAGCTCCTACTGCTACACATGAGTCTGGAAAGAAGCAACAGATGTTTTTATAGTTATAATAAAGGTTCCTTAAGTTTTTACTTAATTTAACTTAACTATCAGTCTAGACTAATCTGGGTTTTTGAAAGGGCTTTTTTTACTAAGCTTGAAAGAATAATAAAGATGCTGGAAAGGTAAAACGTTTAAATAGCTCTCCTGTAACATATTCCACATGCATGTTACACATTTTACCTTTCCAGCATCGATTTTGGTATTTAAAAAACAAATGTGCTGGATATAATAGTTTTATACTGAAAGATATTGAGATGGATCCTAAAATTTTCCAGCATAAACAGTTAGTGTTTTGTTATCAAAGAATATTTATACTAGTTGAAAAAAAAAACAAGAGGCGTCTTATTGTCAACATTAATATTATGTTTACATTATCTAGTTATATTTAAATCAGATTTGTTATCACATGACTCGCTTGGTGAATTTCTCTATAGTAATTATGTACACAAAGGAAAACTGGTGGGTCTTTTTGAATAGTACATAATAACCCCAAAACTGATGAGAGCAATATTTCATGTTATATTACTTAATTGTCAACAAAGTTGGAATAAACCGAGGAACCGAGATCTAACCACGAAGTTAAACAAAAACGTTCTTGTGGAAACTTACTTAGTGGAGGAGATAACCTCGCGGCTAAAGTCATATTCAAAGGATTAACAGTTGCCTCTCGCCTTTCGAGCAGACACATCAGTCGCTCCTTGTCCTTTGCACTACCGCGCGACCCGCCTGGTTTGTTCTTAGAGGCCACGATTCCAAAATATCCACGAATATCACCACACAACACTAAATGTACTCAAAATACTCAACGCACAATTTAGCCATTGGAGTCACAAATACGTAGCGTAAAAGTTATTTTTGTGCAACTTTATGTAAAACCCAATATCATGACACAAAAAAAACATAAGCAATTATATGGTGTTAAAATACTTTTAAAAAAGATACGTCTGCCCAAAGCAAAGTATTGAAAAATAATGAGTGTCGATATCAAACCGAATCAAAGAGACAACGCCACGCGTGAACGAAGATGACGATACTATACTACAAAACGCACAAACGGACTGCGAGTGCGACCGAGGGAATGCGCCGAGGAGGGGCAGGCGGACGAGGCCGAGCGAGAGCAACCGAGCGATACGAAACTCGAACGTTCACAACTTCCGAGAATTCATTCATCGACCAACATTAATTAGCTAAGTAGTTATCTCGTATTGTTATCATATTTCCATTGAATTACTATTTTAGTGAAAAAGCTGTTACGCACTATTTCAGGAAAAAAAAATTTAATTTCAAAAAGACAAAAAATAATCAAAATTTCTACTCGTCACTACCAATTGAGTGACAGGGATGAAAATTGTTTGGGGATTTGTCAAATTAATATGTTTAATCATTAAGTCCATAGAAACAAAGACTTAAAAAACACGACCTATTAAAAACTGTTGGATCATACAATATTTAATTGCTGTTTTATGGTATATAGAAACTTCTTGTCTATACATATATGAATTGTGTATTAAGATTCGCTCTGGACCTTTTGGAGGGAAAAGTGTTGTTTTTATTTTGACTTTCAATTATTTTGTGAAATCTAGTTTAAAGTGGAATAGGATAGTGCTATTGTACCTTAATCGAAGATTAAAACGCGAAATTATACGAATCTCGAACTAAAATACCCGAATCGGCTCGTTTTAAGGAATCCCGAGTCAATCCAAGCACGCCGCCTCAAATTGCCTATCCTCTTTGTGGCGGCCATATTTACAGAAACATAATTAAACTTCATGTTTAGGCTGATGGCTTTGCCAAAGCCTTAATAAATAAATAAAAAAATTGTGTATTTAAGTGTATGACACCTTATGTATGACGGTTCAGATTATATAAAATTTTAACCCTGTGGCAACATTCACATAACGTTGCTATATTGCTTTGTTGTTGACCAAGGTTCTAATAAAATTAGATTGTAGTGCATTTGTAATGGTACCTAACTACAGTCAAAACCACTTGAAAATTCATACTTTGAACTTGTATTTAATTCGAGAGTAGTATCAACAATGTTGCCACGTCTACTGTTTTTGGACGACATCTACTGTTCTACTGCTTTTAGTGAAAATCCACTGTTTTTTAGGAATTTCCAGATTTTTCACTTTTCACAACTGTTCCTGTCGGCTTTTTAGATTTTATGAATCGTCTTTTCCATTTACGACGTCGTACTTTATCTTTTTCGAATGAAAGTGAAGAGTACATTAAATAAAAAATGTGTAAACTGTTCTTATTGGATAAAATAGGTACTGTATGCACTCCACTGAATGATGTTTTTTACCTGGTCCATAAATGTACATATCTACTAAAAATCTTTTACGTGCTTGCATTTAGCATTAACATGATCTCAACTGTGACTCTCTAAATATATTGAACATATTTTGTCGGAGTTTTTGTAAAACTTTGCAAAATTTACAATGTGGTCAAATCATAGAACATCGTCCTTTAATTTTTTTTTTGGTATTTCGGTATATTTTATTATTCTTCTTATATTATTCTAGAAAATACGGGGAAGTAACGTCTATGGTATTATTATCCAAATACAATTTTTATTGTCAGATACCAACATAGTAAGATAACATTAAAAACATTAGGTGACAATGTGTGAAGAAAATCAATTATAAGATGTTGTTTCTAACTGTACGGGACGGTCGCTTATAATAAATTAAAATACGGTACGCTAACACCGTAAGATCAGCATCTATTCTAGTGTTTTTTTCCCTCAATCTACTGTTTTTTTCCGTGCAATGTCTTCTGATTTTTTCAGATTTGACCTGGTAACACTGAGTATCAAGCATATCGTGCTCTCGACCCTGTTCAAAACTATTTTTGTGTTGTTGTCACAGAACAATAAATATTCCGTAGAACAGTTGTATTTCTAATCCAAGGATTAGAGTTGCGAGTACATTATTAATTATCTTGTAATAATATGCTTCGTTATCGTTACTACAAAACTATTATAGTATGCTTATTTCTGAGTACTTTGCAATCTATGACGTTAGACAGTAGGTACGGACGGCAGCACACCAAACTGTATTAATATAATCTGTCGAGTATTACTTATTTGACTTTGTTTCAGACGGATGTCGAACGGAGAACGTAGTTCCGTTGCAGCGGAGGCGATATTCGAACAAAAGTTTTTAAGCTTGATGTGCTGTTGACAGTATGTATATGTATATTCTAAGTGTATAGGTATCATGAAAGCATACAGTAGTATCTTCTCCTTAGTCTGTGCTGTGGACAGCATAAACGATTATTTCTTTGAACGTCAATGACCGCAGATAAGATTGTATTTAATTTATTACACAGTTACACACAAATTCGAATCCTTTTTCATAGAACAGATTTCATTATAATAATTTACTAGAAGTAAATTATGAAATACCTATATTAACTTTTTAATAAAGTGCCAATCGTGGAACAAAATTATTCGATTTAGATTGGATTTTGGCGTATTACACATATAGTGTTTTGACTTACAATAATAACGCATAGAAACCTAGTCCGCACACGCTAAGTAAGGCAAATTGAAGCGCTCCCAATGGGCCTACACGAGCGGGCGGACCGTCAGTGCTGAAGGTCAACTTACACCGCGAACAGCTCAAGAATTTTAGCTAAAAATGACGAATGTGCGGTAAATGAGTGTAAAAATACGTCAGACAAACATAAAATAGATACTAACATCACATTCCACAAGAAAGTAACGCGTTTCAACTTGTATTTTTATATAAATATTCACTAAAACCGAAAACTAACCTACTACTAAAATTAGCCTACATGAATTTGATTTTTGCCTCACTTGAAACAGTTCGTTTGATATGAAACTATCATTCTATGCGTTATTATTCTAAGTGTTTTGAGCGACTATCATTACTAGTTGAAACTTTAGACACTGAACATTTTGCCTACGAATTAATAATATTTCCTACGTCTCTGCTGGTGAAACTGCCGCAGAAGTGAAATCGTACATCTCTCAATTTTCTTTGATCTCAAAATGCTTCAGCCTTTTCGAATCCCTTCAAACGGAATGTATTTATTGGATTGGAATTCCCATCAACTGTATCTAGCACTAGACTATACTATACTAAAACTACTCGACGCCTGCAGGGCTAACTTCGAGTAGTGTTGTATCGTGGACGGTGGCCAAAATCCTTTTTTCTCAAGACAGAGATGCGATAATAAACTGCCTCATTTTAGCAGGTTTTTTAAGTTCTTTTTTCTCTTATACAATACAAGTACTTGGCTATTCTTTATTATAGTACTTTGCTTCAGACGTTACGACCTTGTTATTGAGAAATACTAAATAGTGGGTATATCAGGAAAGAGGAAGTGTAAATCAATATAATGTAAATAGGTATGGGTCTCTGTCGACACTGGTTATTCATTTCCATCAATCGATGATTTCAATACCAATTTGCTCATTTCACATTTCAAATACAGTTGGACGATTTTAATCACTGTTATTCATTCGAAACGCTGATGTTCTTTGTACTATTATTAGGTACTTATCTGGGTTCTCCTGCTAAATACTGATTTGTAATGGATTATGGGTACCTATAATACCTATATTGCATACTTATGTATGTACATTTCATTGAAATTTGAAACACGCGCGAAATTGAAGACTTGTGGTGATCAAATATATCATACATCGACCGTGTGGAGGTATACCGTAGGTGTGAACACATTTGGTAATCTATTACGGAATTCTGTCGCGTACTAGATGTAAATCGGACAATGTACGTATCTTTCAGTGAATAGGCTTGATTGGCTGCAGCCTTGATTGTTAATAGTGTGTTTTAGGCTGAAGTAGGTACTTACCCAAGAACATCAAATTTTAATGGGTATAGGTACCAAAAACGTGGCAATTCTGTTTCTGTTTTAGTATATTCTACTCCATTCTAAGATTTCACACTTATTGCCTGGATATACATCGTTTAAAACAC